AAAAAAAAAAAAAAAAAAATTAAAGCTGGGATGTAACTCAGTAGTACAGCATTGGCGAAAGAGAGAATGTACTTTGTACTGAATTTCTCCTCCAGACCCACGCTTGTCTAGCTTTGGGTTTCACTTTACTAAAGCTGGACAAGTTTGGACCATCCGGAGGCCAAAGAGGTTTCCCTGAGAAAAGCAGCAAAGTGCAGACAAGCTGCAGAAAGGTGCCTTAGGGCAAGAGGCAGAAAGCCATTAGTTCAAAGGTAGTACTTGTAAAATGTGCGGACGAGTTTGCAGGAAGAAAAACCTTCTTCCCCCAATTCCTCATCCATCTAGACCTCTTGATTAAAAAAACCTTTTTGTTGGTGGTACTGGAATAAACGCAGGTCCTTTGCAGAGCTACAACCCCACCCCTTAAACAAAAAACACTTTTTTGAAAAGGGTCTTCCCAAGTCGCTTAAGTGTCCAGCCTGGGCCCGAACTTACGTCGCCCAGTGCTGGGATCGTAGACGTGCGCCACCACGCATGGCTGTACTGTTTTGACGCTATGATCATCAGCACTTTTCAGAGCTGATGCTTTACTTTAAGGTTAAACACATCGGGATGCTGGCGCGGTTCAGCGGCAGACCGCGCGCTGAGCACGCAGGTTCGTTCCCCAGCACCCCAAGTCAGGCCGAACCCAAACCCGAGCCCGGCCTGCGCCCGCCCACCCCGCTCGCACCAGGAAAGCGCAGCAGCTCGGCGCGGTGGCCAGCGGCACACAGGGCGGACACCAGCTTGCGGCTCTGCGTACTCTTGCCCGCGCGGTCCACACCCTCCAGCACTATAAGTGCTCCACGCCTGCCCGCCATGGCGCCCGCAACGCGCGCGGGCGCAGCGCCGCTCCCGACAGCCCGAGCGACGGCGTCCGCAGCGCGTGGCCTGATTGGCTGCGGCGGGGGCGGGGCCAGCGCCTGCGCCTGCGCCTTCCCGCGGAGTCGGCGCACTGGCTGGGACGTTGGCGGGAGTGCCGGCCTGCACAAGAGGAGGGGGAAGGTGGGTTACGGCTGGGTGGGCACTAGGCCAGCGCTAATAATTGAGCCACATCCCGCCCTTTTATATTTGTTTTCACATTTTGAGACAGTGTCTCACCAGGTTCTCCAGGTCGGCCTCGAACTTGCTATTCTCCTGCCTTAGTCTTCCGAATAGCTCTGGCTTTGGCTGATTTCTTTCTGTAGGGTGGGGATGAGCGCTGGGAATTGAACCCAGGGCCTTTGCAGTGAGCTTCATCCTCACCCCGTTTTTTTTGTTTTGAGACAGCATCTCACTAAGTCACTAGATTGCCCAGGCTGGGCTCAAACTTGCGATCTTCCTGCATTATTAGCCTCCAGAGTGCTAGGACTACGGGTGTGTGCCAACAAACCGAGCCTTTTTTTCTTTCCTCCCTCCCATCTTTCTTCCTGAGGACTGAGCCCACAGGCTACCACTGAACTACATCCCTGGCCCTTTAAAGTTTTTGTTTTGTCCCTTTTGGGGGGCGGGGAGACAAGGTCTCGCTATGCAGTTCAGGCTGGCCTTGAGCTCACTTTGTAGCCCAGACTGGTCTCAAACTCACAGCAAACCTCCTGCCTCAGCCTCCCGAGTGCTGGGATTACAGGTGTGCGCTACCACACCTGGCTAAATTTTTTTTAATTTTTGAGACAGGATCTTACCATGTTTTCCAGCCTGGGCTCAGTCACAGGATGCTCCTAGCTCAGTCTCCCGAGTAACTGCCATTACAGGGATGGGCGCATCACTGTGCCCATCTCGACGCTGTTTACCAGGCTTTACTTTTCCTCCTCTTTGGGACTGTGGATCAAACCTAGACCCTGAGCTTGCTGGGCCTGCGCCCCCACCCACCCACACACCTGATCTGATCTGCAAAGTGTGTAAGAGTGTTGAGAGCCCCCTGCTTCATTGCCAGGGAAGAGGTGGAAGTGGCAGTCTCTGTCCAGGGCATACGCCAGCTCATGGGCAGCAGCACCCTGACCGTCCCATACAAAAAAAGCAGCTTTATGCTTTCCTGACTGAACAGTGCCTGTGTGATTTGGGTTCTGGAATGGGAGTGGTGGTGTATAATTCCCAATTGCTCTACTTGCTTCTTCCTGGAGCATGACCTTGTGGCTCCCAAGGTCAATGCACTCTACTCGAGCAGAAGCTTCAAAAGCCACTCTGGTTTCCTGTCCTCTTGTACCCTGCAGGGTGCAGTTAGGGTTGGCTTTTCACCCTGGGTCCTGGGATGGAGGCACAGTAAGCACAGTGGTATCCACAGCAGGCGCCAGCCTAGTGAGCCTTTGAGGGTGGAGCCCGAGACTACGGGGTCTGTTACCACAGTACAACCTGGTGAGAGCTAGAGCTTACTACTTTTTAGGCAAGGAAAAGAAAGAATATTCCTTTCTCTGCTTGGTGGCTCTTGTTCTAAAATGCCAGCATCACTGCTAAGCACCTGTACACTGTCATCTTTAATTCCCTCCAGATTCCCCAGGATGGTGTCACTTCCTGTGTTTCACAGAAGAGTCAGATATCTAAGTGCCTTGTGCAGCCTCTCCAGGCTGCTGGCTCGGTTTCCGTGGGCCTCAGGCTCCGTGCACCGTGATTCTTAGGACACTGCTTCTTGCACACGGCTCAGCCAAGGGTCTCCTGTGTTGTGAATGCAACCAGCGTAGCCGGTGAGGAGCAGCAAGGAGAACCCAGTGGCTCCTGGGTCATTAAAAAAGGAATAAGTCACTGGGTGTGATGGTCCACACTTGTGATCCCAGCACTTGGGAGGCTGAGGCAAGAGGATTGCTACAAGCTTGAGGCCAGCCTG